TATAAAGTACACGGTTCTCTTTAAAGATTTACCCGTGTCCTCGGTATAGTCTGTTGTCCATATTAAACTGACAAGAAGAGACTGCAGCCTTAATCAAACTTGCGAAGTCTTAACTTACACGGAGAAGATGCAGGACTGAACTGTGTGTGTAGTATTAATATTCAGGAAAAGCCCCAATCAGAGAGGCGAATGTCTGCAGCCCCGCCTCCGTTTTCAGATGTCTCCGTTTTTGCTCATCCACACTGAGACGGAGCAGCAGCGTTTCAGAATGAAAACGGCCTCTCCAGCGTTTTCGAAACGCTCTGTTTTCGGCGCTCGAGAACTCCGGCGTAGTGTGGACGGTTGGCGTAACCGTAGCAAAACTTATGCGTTTTCAAACTAAAACACACTAGTGTAAACGGGGCCTAAGGGTGCTTTCACACTTGGTTCATATGCCTGGACCGTGCCCAAGTTCGAATGTCCCCATTTGCCATCTTCTCGGTTGGTTTGTGTTCACACTGGCCGAACACACTGCATGGGATGCACACTTCAGAATCTCACCGGAAGAAGTAGGTCTTCCGGGTACTTCTTGTAAACTGATTTTTAAATTCTACGAATTCAGACATACTACTTTTGGAGGAGACATGCAGACATTATCACTGTGCTTGCTCTGGCTCAGTCCCGCTTGTCACCAAGGTACAGTATTCAGTTTAATTTAATTCACCTTTATTTGTATAGCACTTTAACAATGTAGATTGTGTCAATGCAGCTTCCTTTAGAAGATTATAGTAAATTGAAACAGTACGTGATACGCAGACTCACACACACACAAACACGCATGCAAACGATAGATTATTATTCAGTTGCTGGTTTACTTCCATTATTTGGTACGATTACATTCATACCAGAAGTGAACCGTACCCTAGACCACCTCTTTCAGGTTCGTAGGTGCGCACCCAAGTTCAGAAGACACGTTCACACTAGCTAAACAAACCGTACTCTGATGTCAAACGAACCCGGGTGCGGAACAAAAGTACTAGTGTGAAAGCGCCCTAAGTTACAACTTACACATTACTAAAGATTTTTGTGTTGCACCACTGAACTTTAACCGTAACATTTAAAAGTTTAAACATAATACTACATTCTAACTAAATATTTACAGCAGCATCCTTCCATGGATAATGAAATGACAGTGAGATAAGTTTACATTGAGAAGCTCACGATAAAAAAGAAGAATGGTCTTTGTTTACTCACAGCCTTAATTTCCTTCCAAATCTCGCAATTTGTTCAGTTTATGAAAAAAAAAGTCATTTATAATTTTATTTTCATAGGAGAGGAGTTATATATAGATGGAATAGTTACAGAATTTTAAAGCAGTTTAATGATTTAAATGCTTTTTATTGGATATTACGTCATTCAATGTGACTACGCATGACTTTACGAAGAGCTTAAGACCTACTAACTACGGTTTGAAGATGTTTGTAAGAACAAATTTAGTTACAAACTAGATAGTAGTTACTAAGCCCCTAGTGTGGACTTTACGATCCAGTTTAAAAAAAAATTCATGATCAGCTGGTGCAACCCTACCCTGGTCCTTAATATAAAAGAGGGCAGACGAACAACCAATATCAGCTACTTTATTTACAATATTGAACGACAATCAATGGAAAAATTATTTAATATTGGAGTAACGACTAGCACTTTGCATATCCTACTTGGTAACAAATAATTAACAAAAAATATTAGTAGATTTGTCATTTTAGAAAATGCTACTGATTGTTATTGTAAAATGTGGGTGGTTTGTACTGTAGGTTATCATCAAGTTATGTGATTGATGTCAGTTGCACAAACCAGAGCTTTATGCCAAAAGTATTTCCAACAATATTAATTCTGCTAGCATTAGCTACCACAAATCTAGAAGTCATGAATCCTTGGTTAACCAGCAAACAAAAGCAAGGCAAACTTAGGCTTGTGTGTTTTTTTTAGACTGGACTGAAAGACAATAAGCTCCACAACACATTGATTTCCATGAGCTCCTTTCATGCACACACTATCAATATTTGATCAGTTGCTCCGTCCGCTCACGCCCGAGGGAGGAAAGCAAGTGCAAACTCCTCCTCGCCGTTTACTCAAAGTGGGTGGAGCCTGTTCCACACAAGATGGCCTTTTATGAATAATCAATGAGTTTGCGAGTCAGAGTGCGGTGGGCTCATTAAGGCAAATTACACGCAAGTGCTGCTCGCCATCAATCACGCAGCAACAATTCATCTGTCACTCTCCTGAGGCCACATTGCTGGAATGAAGGGGGTGGCATAGAGACTCGCCGAGGCTGTTTACACCTGGTCACTTCATGCGTTTTTACTGATCGGATAGCTTTCTGATCGGAAAAAGGACAGGTGTAAATGGGCTACGAAATGCATTTGAGATCTGATCGCTCAAACCACATCAAGAGACGGTCCGGACACATTCCTGATGAATCAGGACAGGTCTAAATGCATCTGGTTGTTGAAACCTAATTTTACTCCTCCAAAAATGTAACAAAATAAACGATAACACTTTAGTTTAGGTCACACTTTATGGTATTAACAAACAATTAACTAACACTACTACTAGCTTAATAGGCTACTAATTGGCTGTGTACTTGCAAGGAAGAAGTTGGGTTTAGGTTTTGGGTAGGATTAGGGATGCAGAATAAGATCATATTGTATAATTACAAACGAACTGATAATATCTTAATAATGGGCAGGTATTAAGGCAGTAGTTAATACCATGAATTGTCACAAGTTGTTTTTTGGCTATATGACAGTACAATATTATGTAACGCAATGCCAAATGACAGTAGGGGATGTTTGTTTATTTAATTTGACTTTAATTCTCGTTTCATTCTATTTTTGACTAGTTGTCAATCTTTTAATGATAAAATTGGATTGTTAAATGAATATAAATTTGGTAGCATTAAAAACAGATACATCACGCACCTGTATTTAAATCTCATTAATAGAGAGGTATCCTAAAATAGCAGAAACCATATAGTGTTTTGTCTCATTTAGAAAGGCATATTTTTGTTTTTTGGAGTGTAAGTTATACACAAATTAATGAATACCCTTTAACAGTTTTAAAAAGCCTACAGAACATATAAAAAAAACCTATAGAACACATAAAGTCAATGTATGAAGAGGAAGACATATAGCTTACGTTTTTGAAACAACAAAAACTACTTCAATAGAATGCTTTAGCTGATGTAACCTTGTCAAATTTGCATATACCACTAGAAGGTGAAGGTGTAGGCCTGTCACAATAATGAATATATCACACAACACATGAACATGACCTCTTTTTTGGTAATATTGTCCATACATATATTCTAGCAACATTTTATCTAATTGCGCAGCATCTCTATCTCTATTGGAGGTGTCAGTATGTTTAAAAAAACACACTAGTATTTGCTATAAATTGCTATAGTATATTTTCATGTGGGTGTCTGACATCTGAAAATAGATATGGTAGCAGATATGACAGCCTCTGTTACTTTTTACCTTTTACTTTTTGGTTAACATTTATTATTATTTATTTGTTGGAATACATTTTTACATTCTGATTTCAATTGCTAATTATTCCATTTTTAAAACGACTAAGAGTCTTAAGAATAAAATATGATGTGTTTTTGGAAGAGTGTACTGTACTTGCATTATGATGCTATAATTTTGTCATTTTGGCATTATATAATGAGTGCCATAAAATGGTCTTAAAATGGCAACGATATCCAACCTAGGCTCATTCCGAAAACATACCTCTATATACATTTCTGGAGACTGCCGAATACATATTAGGAGCTTTCGCGAATCCACCAGAGGCCGCTGTGTATGCTTTTTCAGATCTCAAATTGCTCTTGTGAGTGCCATTTGCACCTACTGTTTGTGCATAAACCCACCAGAGGCCGCTGTCTGACTGACTGACTACCCTCCTCCTTCCCTAAACCCAACCAATTGTATAGACTGACCCACCCACCCACTTCCTTAAACCCAAGCAACAATTTTCAAAAGCAATCCAGAAAAAGAAAAGCCCTTCTTTGATTTTTACCACGTTTTCACATTTTACCACATTTTCACCTTGTTATTTACTTGTTCATTTAATTCTTTTGGATTCTGTTTTTGTCTTACCCGCTTTTTGGAACCATTCTTTACCGGACTTGAACCATATCATCTTGGTAAACTTCTGCGTCTCAAGTCCGCTGATGTACATGGCAACTACTAAACAAACTGGGAACAGCGGGAAATCAGTCCATACGGAGGTAGGGCTATATTTTCAGAATGAGCCTTTGTTGGTGTATCTGATACTTTAGTAGGTGTAACCTAGTTAAATTTACATATAGCGCAAGACTTGAAGAAATATTCATTTAGCTGAGATACATTTATGTGGCCGAATGTAAATAAAACCTTTTTCACAAATCAGACAGCTAAAAAATAAGAGAAAACACAAAGTGACCAGGTGTAAACTAAATGCAAACATATCTTTTCTTTCTAAGATCTCTTTAATGGTGATCTTCTCTGCCAGTGACAACGAGGATTTCTTACCGCCAGTAACTAATGACATCATCATGATTCAAGACCATCAGTAAGCAGATACCGAAGAGATGATTAAAGAAAAATCCCAGTAGATCTGAGCACAAACAGCTAAAATGCAGCAAAGATGTGAGTAACAAAATAGCCGATGTTTTATTTATAAGCATAAAGCCTCAGTGGAGATGAAGAGTATATGCTAGTGTGAATTAGCGTCGCCCAAGGATAGGTTGTGCGGTGAACAGAGAGCGGTTTGGTTCTGAGATGGATGGAAATGACTGGCTGTATATCCTGATGGGAGCTCATTGGCTGGAGAGCTTCGGGGCACCTGCGCTATGTGCGACCTGGAGTTTTGACATTTCTCTGCCCTTTAAAAATGTTTTTGACAAATACTCTCCAGCGTACACAAGATGGAGGGTGTTTGAGCGTGAGGGAGAGGGGTAAGATGGTTTCTGCACTCACCTCTCCTTTCTTCACGGTCATGGACTGGCGGCGAGGAGTGCTCTCTTCGTTAATGCTGGACAGGAAGTTTTGTGAGATACGAAGGGCGTCCTGCAGGAGCGGGTAATCTGGGTGACTGGAGGGGGTGTGTTTTAGAAGATCCTGTAGACAATCAATAGAAAATCAAAGAGATAGTACATTTTTTTCTTCGATCATGCAAAAGAAAATACTGTACAAGATGGTGAACCCAGACGGTGAATTACTATGAATAGGAAATACTGCAATATCATTGATCTACACTCAAAAAACTTATGCTTGCTGTTTGTTCAAACTACTTATTTAAAATCAGCTGAAACAACACAATTCTTAAGTTTTCTTGGGGTCAACTTAACTGTTGTATGTTCAATCCACTTCAGTTTGTAAAAACCAATGTATTAACTTAATTCTTTCACATTGTTCCAACAAAAATCAATAGTGCGGAACCCATTGTTTTTTTACAGTGTAAGGTGCATTAGTTACTGCCCTCTAAATAAAAGAACCAGTTACCAGTAGGTTAATTCATTACGACATAGGAGTTGTACTTAAAAGCTTTGAATTCTTGGCTTAAATGCTACAGAATTCAGAAACCATGAAGTGAATTGCAGCAAGAAATGCTTGTGATTGTACTTGAGCATAACCATCCAAAGATTTAATTCTATTTTAATTCATTGACTCATCCTCCATTTGTTCCAAACCTGTTTAGAGTTTCTTTTTTTCTTGTTAAACACAAATGCGGATAAACTTACTCAATAATATTGCGAACAGCAATTACCTCCCATGGTACACTGTAAAAAATGCTGGGTTCCACACTATTGACCCTTCGCTAAGCCACACCTGAAAACCATAGCTACTCGCAGGAGGTCTGTCAAGCTTTCGACCGAGGGAAACAATGCATTGTGCATATGCCTTTGCAATAGCAATAACAGCGAGCACAATCCAGTCATATTTCCATCTGTTTTAATTTATGAATGTTTCAAATTACATATAAACAAAACCGAGATGTGATCACAAACTGAGCACTTATATACTTTACCCGCAGCGTTTTTTTAGTCATTTATATCCCTCATGTCCATTTCAGAGCTACAAATCACCATTATTTTCGTTTGACTTTTGGAGATTTAGCCATTGGTGACGGCGTTAGACCGGGTTAGTGCCTGCTTTTATATTTGGTGTCGGATTAACATTTGCTGGTAGGGAAAATCTATTTGTTCACTTCTGCTGTTTATACTTTGATTTGCATTTCAATTTATTTATTTTTTCCAATTAATTGCAAATTAAAATAATAATGGTATAAAAAGCACACAAACATACTGACAGTTATCGGTGCTGTACATTGTTATGGGTCAATGGTGCCAATATTTGGCACAAATCCATCAATTTCCCCTTTCTGGCTGCTCTTTCTATGAATGAATTATGTTAAATAAATCACGAAATCACAGTTTAATTTGTTATTATAAGATTATTTTTAATTGTCACCTATCCTGCTGTGCATGAACTAAGCTGTTGAATGGTCAGTGTATGAGGCGGCTAGGCTAACCTACTGTAGCTTCAACTATGATTAAATTATTTTCGAATTTGTTGCGTATTTAGTCGTGAATATACCCCTGTGATGCATACTGCAGTCCTTTTTTCTCTGGCTTTCTCATAAATCTCAGTTGTTAACCAAAAATGATTAATTATATCTCTGGGAATGTCTGACATTGGCTCATACATAGTGTAATAGACGTGTCAGGCACGAATGCTTGATAGGTGTAACAACAGTAACTAAGGAGGGCGGGGCTTAGTGAAGGGTCCATTCTTTCATGATGTCACAACACAAATCGATTAGGTTAACTTAATCATTTTTACAAATTAAGGTGGAAAGAACATAAAAAATTAAGTTTTCCCAAAAAACTCTTAAGAGTTGTGTTGTTTCCACAGAAAATCAAATATTAATTTTGAATAATTCAGTAGAACATGCAGCAAAAGTCATTTTTTGAGTTTATCTGTTTTTTCCTCAAGGGCTGTTAGAGTCGATGGCTTTTTTTAAAATCAGCGTTCTTCAGAATATCTTGTTTTGAGTTCATGAGAAATTCATAAACCACTTTGGAACCACTTGAGTGTGACATTGTGTGATTCAATGCCCTGATATACTTACTGCAAAGTTGTATTCATTGTTTAATTACAGTACATGTGTGATTTTTAAAATGTCGTTCTAATATACCGATGATACACATCCAGGCACAGACCACATGGCTAAGAGTGTCATTTAGATTTATAAATATATAAATATGTGTTATATGATTTCTTCTAAATAACAAAGTAAACACCACAAAAATGCCAGTATTTAGGGAAAAAAAATCTGATCATAGTCGTGTGGACTTGTTTGCTCAAGCTCTCCAATTAATTAGCATCATATTATCAACAGATGAGGTAATTCAAATGACACTGTTATGATTTTAAAATATAGATGTAGTTTAAAATCAAAGTATATTTGAGAATATCGATTACATAGTTCTGACCACAGTTTGAATTAATCACTTTTCTTTGGATTATTCTTTTAGCATAATCTTACTTACTGTATAAACATTCATTTTATTGTTACAGAAAAGTGGGGAAGGCAATTTGGGACGTAAACCACTGTGAGAATTATACATTGACGATCAGGGGGTCAACTGTTTCGGGTTGTGTAACACATGCTTCAGTCATTTATGTATTTATTTTTAATTACATCTAGCTTATTAATAAAATGCATATACGTTTTCAGTGTTTAGAGGGATATTTAGTGTATTCTCACCTACAGTATTCTCCGATTAGCTATTTCAGATGTTACTATAGGTTAAACTACAAACTATATGTCTAATTTGATTTGATTTCCAGGCTAAATATAAATACAAACACCTATTTTACAAGAAAACAAAGTGTTGTGAACACAATGTCTATTGATTCTCTAGATCTGCTGCTGTCAGACTTTTTTTCCTCGAATAGACTGATTGGCGCAATTACGCATTAACAATGGTATGAACTTTTATAGGGGTGGTCAAATATATATTTGTATTATATAATATTTTAATTACTAAAAATAATATTTGAAATACAGATCAAAGTGTAATATTTCTCAGTATTAAAGAACTGACCCCCCATACATCTTGTTTTGACTTCCTTTATGGGGGATCAAGTGCTAATCAGGAGGGTCAATCCCCCCCGAACCCCCCTGTAATTTGCACCCTGGTGTAAACGTCACATCAGTTTAATTTTCTGCATAAAACACTCCATATAAAAATCAAAAATTCATGCCAAAGCTGTTTACATGTTGGCAATGGGAAAGTGATTAATACATGGATATAATTATACATTAGCCCATAGACCAACCTAAAATATACACTATACTATATATGAAATCTAATTTAAACAGGCCCAATACCTTGGGAAATCAACTTCACAAGGCACTGGCATTTGGAGTGTACAACATGAGTAATAGTAAAAATGATAAGTAATGCCTAAAGAATATATTATAATAAACTAAGGTTGACTCACATGCAAAACAAGCGTGCTCCGGGTCACTCTGTCCACTGGTTTATAGAGCAGAGCTGGCAGAGACAAGACAGAAGAGAACACACACACACATAGTGGGCGATTATTCACAAGAGCCACTTTCATACTGCAGGCTCAAATGCCGATGTTTGAAACCTTATCTAATCCACCCACTCAATGGGTTTTATGCAACTGAATTAAAAAGAAGGAAATACATGACATGCTGAGAGCAAAATGTGCAACACATAAGCTCAATGAAAATACTACAGGTAATATAATGACCATATAATACATGAAAACAAACGAATGCCATCTTATGGTTTCTTACTTTCCAGTGAGTATTTGGCTGTCAGGTCCTTGCACTCCTTGGTGCTCCTGACCTTGAGACTCTGCAGAGATACCAGAGACAAACCCAGGATCAATAAACCTGTGAAGTGCACACTATCTTGCAGTGTTGGTAACTCTAATCGCATAAAGAACATCAGATTACGATTACAGAACAACTATTTTTACCGTATTACAGCAGATATTCTCTAACAAATTATATTTATTGGCTTTAAGGTGTTACGGTAGATGCAAACATTAGATGAAACAAGTTGTAGTTCTGTTCTTATGTACAGTATATTCCACTTCTTCCGTCTTTCTCTGTATACTCCTTTAGAGAATCTAAATGAATGAATTACCCTGTCATTTGATCTACATTTGCATTAAGCAAACGTTTTCTATGGCAAGCTTCTTACACTGACAGCAATGCACTCTAGAACCCACCAGTGCGAGCAAACAATTATCCTAATGTTTGCCTTTGGTTGTGTTACAAGTGACGAATATCCAAAGTGTAAAGGCAAGTAGAAGTTGGCATGACAACAGCTGGAAGGGGGGAATAAAGTGGGACGAGGTGAGCATCATCATGTAGATTTTATTCCAGACAACCTCTCTTCATAACATGTAGCAAGGCATAAAATCTCCAGCTGAACTCTGAAGAGGGCTGAGCGCCACTTTTAGATCTGGTATGCCGGATGGTAATGGTCTCTTTAGGTAATCAGTCACACCGGGTGACCCCATGGAGGAGTGCAGCAGGTAAAGCCCAGCATAAAAACCAGATATTACTGGTTCTTTGATGGCAGGATGCATCAAGGATTCAGTAGATCTGATTGAAAGATGCTAAGGCTACACTTACAAAAAGATTCATTTTTGATAAATGATTTACTTTTTTAAGGTAAGTGGTTGCAAGCAATTTATATGGGCTAAATTAAAAAAAAACAATTAAATTAAGTAATGTTCAACTTGTTCAATTTGCTATTGATAATAATCCATTATTGTCGCTGCGCCGCCATATGTAACGGTAATGGTCATTTTGAAGTGTCACCCACTATATCTAAAAAAAAAAAACAGTAAATCTAATGAATCTTTTTTTTCCAGTTCTTGTTTTCTAACTTAAAATAACACAACAACGAATTCAAAATGACAAAATACTGATACTTCATCCAAGAAAGAAAAGTTAGTTAGTATGGATGTAACGATTTACCAGACTTAACGATTCGATACAATTCACAATACTAATCTCACGATTTAGTCACGATTTTTTAACAAAATTATTTGAAACAAATTGAAGAGCCCTTTCATTTTTTTTTCTGAAATATTCAACATTTTTTGCAAAATAACACATTTTCTGCCAGAACTAAATAGCTATTTAAAAAAATTTTTTTGAATAAAAACTAAAGAACACTCATTAATATAAACAAACTAAAACAGTGTCACGGTGCTGGGATTTCACATTTTAAAAAAGAAATGTCAGCACATCTATATTTTCTGGCATAAGCTGAGATCTTTACACATTTACCATGTATCCTGCTGATAAAAAAAAATTCTTTCACTGGGGACTGAGACGGCTTATGTGGAGAGGAAAGCACTGGCATAAAAAACTGATTCTAAAATTACTAACTATATAGTAGGAGTACTATGCAGGTGAATAATTAATATTACTTGTATAATTAATTAGTATAAGTATCAGTGTGATACACTTTAAGAAGAGATGTTTTTGACCATTTTTAAATTTTCAATAATAAGAAGAAAATTATTAAAATATGCATAAATTAATTTGAAAAGGAGAGGGTCAAAATAATCTGATATCTCCTTCTGTAACAGAACAATGTTATCCTTCAGTCTGGAAAACATCTTCACACTTTCGCTATGAATACACTGATGCACCCTGTGATCTCTGTAGCACTCGTCAGAGCAAGTAGAGCTGCAAATCACCTGGACCGCATGGTTTGGCTTATTAATAGTTTCTTTTTTTATGTACAGACATCTGTGTCAGTAGTTTTTCACTGTGCTGTATCATATTCATAGTTCTGTTAGTGCAAGTAAACATCTTTTTGCAATATTTGCAAACAGTTTGTTTTTTGTCTGGTGCATTTCAGTGCTGTCATTTTACTCTGCCGCCCCACCTCTAGCTCGCCGCTGATGTGCAGGTAAAACGAGCTTGCACTTGTAAACACAGCGCCCCCTCTGTTAAAAAAAAATGTTTCATTGAACTTTTTAACCAATTTAAATTGTCACATATCTGAATTGATTTTCAACCGGCTCACGGTGAATCCTTACATCCCTAATAGCTAGTTTTAATTAAAAAAAAAAACGTTTAAGTGGAAAATAACAAAACAGTCAAATTAAAGAAAAAAATGTTGGATTATTTTCGATACTGTTATGTGTGTAATATTAACACAATTTCAATTAATTAAAAACACAACCAATGTAAAGCTTGTATTTGTTGGGGATTTGGGGGGAAAGGTATCTGTTCCTGTATCAGAATAATAAGACCTTGAGCACTCCAGTAGGCATTACCTCAGAGATCTCTGCAAACTGTGTGTTCGCTTGACAGCACTTCTCTGCGGTCTCCACGGCGAGTTCGTAATTATCCACAAAGGCTCTATACAATCCAAGCTGACTAGCCTGCGGGAAGAAAAAAACAAAGTGAGTCATTTCCACTTATGCATCTTTTTGTATTTGTAGCCCATGTTTGGTGGACTTTAAAACAGTGGGATGGAAACTGTTGAGCTTTATAAGTACATCCAGGATGGCAGTTCTCGCTCCTGGCTAACAGCGACACTATCAGTAATGAGTGAGATGCACGCATGGATCTGCCGTGCTGACATGGGGTGGACAGACGGGACAGTGTCATCACCGCAGGAGCAGCTGGGCCATTGCTGTGCACGGCCATGGAGCCTACAGCGGTTGCCATGGCAGCAGAGGCCAACTCTACAGTGAACAATTAATGTGTGCGGCTGGCGCTTGTAAAAAGCACATTTGGAAATCTGATTTAGCCCATCCAAACTCAATCGCCTTCCTGTCAGTGCTGGAAACCTCTCTCCCCAAACAACTCAATCAATCTCTCCAAACACAAATATACATTAGATGATAAAAGGTTTGTGTGGGTGTATATGCGTGATGATAAACAAGCTGGAACAGAGCCACCTAAATAAATTTTGTCTGTACTGATCATGTGGATTTGGCAGGTTAAAAGTAAATACACCTCAATTTAATTTTCAAATATGTTTTTAGCTCTTATGAAGCTAAATGCTTTTGCTACTGTACATTTAAAAAGGGTTTCCCAACAATTTACTCCTCCTGTTCGTTACGCTTGTCACAATCACCAGTGATCTAACCCTCATAGATCGCTGTAGAACATCTACAATCGCACAGAATACAATTCTGTCTCCATATGAACTAAATGTCCTGTCATGCACCACACACACACACCTGCTCCAAGTCTCCTTTAATTACACTGAATACTCATGTACTGATTACACTCACATACTGTATATCCGGCTCACTTTGACACACTTGTTAGGTTAACACCCTGTAACGTTACAATGCGTTCCCTGGTATAGTTAGTGGTGGGCAAAGCGAGGCTTCATGAAACACTGAAAACAGTCGCACCAAATGTGTTAAAGCTTCAAAACATTTTGAAACCCATACACTTTTATGTATTGCACTGGAACAGCTTCAGCAAAGAAACAGTTAAGCAAATTGAGGTATTAAACCCCACGTTGTAGAGTTGAAGCTTCAAGTGATTTAGTGAAGCTGTGAGAGCTCCTGACTAGCATGCAGAGATAATGGGTTCGATCCCAGGGTAATAAATCTATAGAGGTTAGGTTTGAAATGCTCTGTTTTTGTAACATGTTTTGTTTTAACATTGGTCTGACATCCAAATGAACACTTTGTGAATAAGCATGTCTTGTTTTGGACATAAAACAAGGTTGTTGCTAGATCAGATACAGTTGCGGTCAAAAGTTAACAAGAATATTTTTTTATTATTCATTAAATTTCCCATTTATTGTATTTCATTGTTGTCTACCGCAACCCTAAACTCAAGCATCACAGTACTGTAAAAATAATAACTATTGTTATACAGACTTGTGTTTCGAATCACCTTAGTCATGTGACCTGGTTATTTCGGATCATGCTTCGATGCAGTGTTTCGAAACACTTGCGCTTTGGGATCCATCCATCCATCCGTCCAACCATCCATCCATCCATCCATCCATCCATGCAACCAAAAACCTGCATAAGGATCCTCACTCCGTTGTCACTCGACTCTCTTGTGGTTACGCTCATGTCATTACATACCTTTCTTTTTTCTTGGAGCACAAGAGATGATATTTTAGCAAATGTCTGTGGACAAAGTTATAACAATTGAGCTCATATGCATAGAGCTACAAGTAGAGAAAACATGTGCACACAGAAGAAAGGTTTGGAATGACATAGGAAAGCATTTATAAATAGGTTTAAATAGTCAGTGATGTGGAATCACATTTACTGCTTTGCAAATACTGTGGAAGAGATTCAAAGTCATTCCACAGAGAATTTGCATATAAAAAACTAAGTTCAATTAATAAAGCCATAAAAATTCTTGGTTTGAAGATGAATTCTTCATGTGATGTTCTTTATACTGGTGTTTTGCTCCTGACTGAGATTTGTAAATGCATCCAAACCTTTACAATGATTGACAATTGATTGACAATTTTGCACAACAATTGATTTTCAATGACAAAAACCACAATACAATGACTATTGGATGAAAGACATTACTGAGTCACTGTTTCATTGAATCACTGTTTTGACACATTGACATTTTGTCATCAATCTCATCACACACCCCAAGCAACCCCTTTGGTAAACGTCCAGGCTTGGTGGTAAGTCCAGGGATAAATCTTTTATTTCGCACAGGCCAAAGAGTCCATAAGTGAAGTCATTTTCTCAGTGTGTGCAATCCTCTCCATGCTGAGCAGAAACAGCCGCCCCGGGCCAGAATCTATCTGCAGCGTGGAGGACGGGAATTTACTCTGCGACAACCTCATTACAGCGTGGAGAGGGATGATGACCGTAATAAAGCAGCGACAACACAAGCCGGGCCGAGTCAAACCGTGGCTGAGCGCTGTGAGGGGACGCGTTAAGCTGAGACAAAAATCTGGAAATTTAGCAATATAAACAGAAGTGATGGAACAACTCCGATCAAACTTGTTTAAAACATGCATAAACAACTGATTTAAAAGACCTCATTCAGAGTAGATGCCAAATTTGCTAAGTTAATAAGGTTTGTCAGTGTTTATGGATGGATGGATGGATGGATGGATGGATGGATGAAATAGACAAACAGATAGATGGGTGAAAGGATGAATAAATAGATGAACTGACAGATGGAAGGACTAAAATAGATAAATAGAGGGATGAATGGTTAATTAAATGGATGGATGGATGGATGGATGGATGGATGGATGGATGGATGGATGGATGGTTGGATGGATGGATGGATGGATGGATGGATGGATAAATGGATGGATGGACGGATGGATGGATGAATGAAAGGATGAATTGGATGAATGAAAGTATGAATAGGAGGAAAAGTTAATGAGCAGAAAGATAGAACAGACAGATAGGTGAAAGGATAAATAAATGGATGGACCAATAGATGAAAGTATTAAGAGATAGATGGATGGAGTGATGGATGGTTGATTAAATAGATGGATGGATGGATGGATGGATGGATGGATGGATGGACAGATGGATGGATGGATGGATGGATGGATGGATGGTTGGTTGGATGGATGGATGGTTGGATGGATGGATAGATGGTTGGACGGATGGATGGATGGATGGATGGATGAGACAGATGCATGGATGGATGGATGAAACAGATGAACAAATAGATGGGTAAAAGGGTGAATAAATAGATGGACCGATTGATGAAAGGTCTAAGAGACAGATGGATGGAGTGATGGAGGGTTGATTGAATGGATAGGTGAATGGATAAACAAAGCTGATAAAAAGATGAATAGATTTAAGACAGCAGATTAACAGATAGAAGAATGGATCAATAAAACTGATGAACAGTTAAGATGGCTGAAAGGATGACTGAATGAATGGATGGACCATTGGAGAGATGGATAAATGGAAAAATTAAGTAACAGAGGGATGGAATGATGGTTGGATGGATAATTTGACAGATGAAATTATAATTTAATTGGGTGAATGGAGGTATTTATGAATAGATGGAAAAAATAAATGAAAGATAGATGTACGGATGGGGGAATTGATGGATGGATGGATGGATGGATGGATGGATTGATGGATGGATGAAACAGACAAATATATAGATGGGTGAACGGATAAATAAATGGTTGGACCGATAGACGTAAGGATAAAAAAATAGATGGATAGTGTGATGGATGGTTGATTGAATGGATGGATGATGGATGGATGGATGGATGGATGGATGGATGGATGAATTGATTGATGGATGGATGAAAAAAACTGGTTAAAAGATAGATGACTAAATGGACAGATGGACCATTAGAGGGATGGATAGGTGGAAAAACTAAGAAAATAATGGATGGACTGATAGTTGGATGGACATATGAATGATGAAAGGATGAAAAGGTTAATTTAATTGTGTGAATAAAAGTGTTTATTAATAAATGGAAAATGAATGGACAGATAGATAGTAAAATAGATGGGGGAATCAATGGATGACTACATGGATGGATGGATCTACAGATTTGGATGGCTTATTGATATGGTGTTAATATTACACCCATAACAATATTAGAAATAATCCAGCACCAGAAACCAGAGGCTTCATTACAACTGCATTAACTGTCGTGAAGAATACACATTTGGGCTAAACTCCTCCTCCAGACAAATCGTCTACTGTGAACAATGATTGGCTCCTTTGCTAAAAGGCGGGGCTTCCTTCACTAGAATGACTATATTGACCATAACTCTTTTCTCTGTTTCTTCACACAAAACAAGTAATGTGTATTCTACAGCCTATTCCGCAACCCAGCAGAAAAGAGAGTACAACCTTTGGTGAGAGTGTGTGGGAAACACCCACACACGCTTTCAGTCACACACTATGGTCAATTCAGTATATCCAATTAACCTATTTCCCATGCAGACACAGAGAGAACATGCAAACTCCACACAGAAAGAACTTCTGCACCAACTTGGACTCAAACGGTGGGGCAACCATGCTACCCCCAGGCCACCATGCCATCCCTGATAACTTATTATTAGATTATTAAATTCAAATTTCTAAAACTATTGTCACAAATCTGTTATCATAAATTATTTTGGCCATATTAATAATTGATCTCCTGATAGTATGACACCTCAATCCACAACAAAACACACTAGTCTGTCTACTCAATAAATGTTGTCGCAGACACCATGTTGACAGGTCGATATTCCTCATTCAGATAACATGTAAGCATCGAGATGTTGTCTGCCACAACTGTTTTGAGAAGGTTGAGATGCATCTAAATACGACACGCAAACTAAAAAGTCGATACGTCAGCTGGTTCGGACAGCTTGACAGAGACTTCAGCACAGCAGTGTTCACATCCACTCAGGCTCGACACACTTCCTCATGATGACATGACCATATGCCAGACCCAGCTGAAGATGAAAGTACGTTCCTCTGCTCTGTGCACTTAACGATGTTTAAGTAGGTCACAGATCTGCATAGAAAAAGATGGGAATGTCAGAATCTCTCTCTATTCGGAGAAGAGTCTGCAGAGAATTTACATTCGAGTGTCGGTGACAGGCGTAAAAACATTTAGTGTGAGGGAGCGAGAGTATTAGCATCTTCCTCATAGCTGAGTGGAACAACGAACATCCCTTTTGACATTCGTGCTAAATAACAACATACATAGTGATTTGCATTGCGTTTTCTTACTCAACCTGAGCTGTCGTGAAGGAACAAACAACACAAACAGCAGGAGGCATTTCTGTCAGTGACTGTGACTATATCTATCTCATTCATTCGTTTTGTTCTCTCTCCCGCTGTGAGCGACTGTCTTTTTTAGGAAGTCTGCCTCCTCAGGCGCCGCCTTGGATTGTCGTTAATGGACATGGGGAAGAATGAGGAGATCAGTGACAAATAGCCTCCGGTCAAAATGACTGTCTGAGGAAAACCCAGCATCTTCTGGGAGAAAACACCACTTGGCGACTCTGACTTTTGTTTAATAAACACGGGAGGGGATAATGAAGGAGAAAATGGAAAGATAAATAAATGTGGAATATGACTCCCACACAGGCTGTCCGGACAAAATGGGGATTTATCTGCCCTCTAATAGTCAGCTGAGTCACGTGAGGACAAAACTTAATGGAAAAGAGCAGGAGGGGGCCAGAGATAGAGAACACAATCTTCAAATGGCACTATTAATAGCCTGCTCCTCGAGACACAAAGCACACGCTGTAGTATCTGCCCAAGTGACTGGGTGAAAAAAAAAGACAGCATTGAGATCTGATTTTCAACGTTACACAGGCTCCTGCAGTCCAGACATTGTGTGACTGTGCAGTGTCATTCTAGGGGCATGAATGATTCATTTAGGATTCCTTGATTTAGAGCTAAATGTTAATTCTTGTTCAGCCTCACGGTGTACTAAAAGGAATGTACAGCGAATTCAATATGATCAAAATTAAATACTTGACTCTCAATCACATTCTTGATTCTAAAACCAACCATGACAGCATACGAAGAGCTGATTATTGTGAAAATATATTGAAAACTGTGTGTGAAATGCTATTTGATGCCCACTAATAAAACTTCTGAGTGAAACAGGATGTATTCTAGAATGTGATCGACATAAGTATTGAACACAGTACCATTTTCCTCACAAAACATATTTCTAAATGTGCTTTTGTTTTGAATTTTTTTTACCAGATGTTGGTAACAACCAAAGAAATCCATATGCAAAGAAAACAAATCAAATTAGTTTACAAATCAAGTTATAAAATAAATTGAAATGAAACAGGGAAAAAGTATTGAACACATGAAGGGAGGTGTAGAAAGGCAGTGAAAGCCCAGACAGCAGCTATAACCTCTTAGTAGTTCTTCAGAAACCCTCTGCCTTTCTTTAGTGTAAATTAATATTAGCTGCTTCAGTCCGACATCTACATTACCAGGATGATGAAGATGAAACCAGGGTGGACATTTCAGCAAGACGATGATCCAAAACACAGCAAAGGAAACTCTCAAATGCGTTCAGAGAAAGAAAATCAAGCTGTAGAATGGTCTAGCCAATCACCTGACTTGAATCCAATAGACATTACAAAATAAAGATCAGATTTGATAGACGAGACCCACAAAAGCATCAAGATTTTTACACTGTTGAAAAAAAATCCCACCTGAGTGATGCATGAAACCTCATTCTCTATATGAGGGGCGTCTTTAAGCTGCCATCACCAAGCAGGCTTTTTATATAAAGTATTAAATACATTTTAGTAGTTCATTACTTTCTCCTTGAGTCATTCCATTGTTATTAAACATAACTCGTTTATTTTTAGATTTTTTTGTTTTTATGTTTGTATTGTTTGAGCTTTTACCAAAATTCAATTCCATGTCAACACCTCCTTTAGAAATATTATGATTGTGTTCAATACCTATTTCCCCCACTCTACATGATTTTATACATAAATAAGGAACGTGGGTTATTAAAGGTCTGTTTTGTAAAGAAAAAACTAAATTGAGTTGAGTGATTTGATGGAAAGAAAGAAATAGCTGATGTTATGATTAAACAAGATAGTAAGTAAATAAATAAAGTAAATAATAACTAAACAGGGTCCTTGATTAACCTGAAAAAGGTGCTATTTAGAAAAAGACTCACTTGTTTTTGGAAAAGGTCTCCCACACGCTGGTGGTGACTCCACTGCTGCACTCTGGGCAAAAGGCTATCGTAAAATTCTTTGTGGATCTCGTAGAGCTCAGGCACTTTAAAGAAGATGGTTTCGATCTGTTGAACAGTGAGGACAGGCTGGGAGGTGGTGGCTGCTGCTTTCAGGGGCTTCATAGGCTGACATAGGATCAAGAAAAGAAAAGGTATGAACGTTTACTGAGAAAGACACAATGGCATGAGTTAAGTTACAGACCATTTTAATTAAATGTATGTGCTCGTGTTTGGGGTAAGATGTGTGAAGGTTTTTTTGTTTGGCTGTTTTTTCTTTTTATTGTATTTAACAGCATAATGTGATGGAAAAGCTGAATGTTCAGTGTCACAAAATCCTTCAGAAACATGAAATTTACATGAACAGATTTGATATGAAACTGAAATCTTTTGTAAACCATATTTTAAAATCTCCTAATTAAAAATCTTTATTTGTTTAATTACTGTGCACTTGCTGAGCAAGACTATAGATTTTGGTTTAAATAAGCCCTATTAATGTACAACGTCACATACAGTACCCGTGCATTTAAATGTATGACAATCCTGTTGCAGATGATGGGTTGGCCCATATGTAATGTATTTCAAAGGGATAGTTCAGCCAAAAATTTAAATTCTGTCATGAACTCAATCTTCACTTGTTACACACCTGTTTGAGTTTCTTTCTTCTGAAAAGAAGATATTATGAAAAATGCTGAAAACATGTAACCATTGCTACGGTTCATATATCCGTGTTGTCCTTTTGTTGTAATAGTTCTATTTGTTTTATAAACTATTTGTTTTGTTGCTATGTCTGTTGCATGAATGTGTTTGTTTACCTTTTCTTCACAGCGTGTGTTCCAGTCAGCTGACTAATCAGTGGGACCACCTGCAAGCTATTATTGGGATCTACTTAAGGACTCTGTTTTTTCACCTTTCGGCATTCAGTTGTTCATGTTTGTTCCTGTGTTTCAGGTCTCGTTCTGCTGTCCTCCAGGATTTGTGAGTTATCTTGTGTCCCATGCAACCAGAGCTGTTGTCAGCCTTTGTTTCTTGTGTATTGTACTGATCAATTCAGCTAATAAACTTTTTTTCCATATATTGACTGTCAGATTAATAGTGACTGATCGTCTATGATGACTGATAGAAAACTGTTCTATTATACTGAATGGCGATCAGAAACAACATTTCCCATTCGCCTGTCACGATCGCCATATTTGTGAAATAGTATACACTATTGTTTGTGTACGATATTTATTAACTATATATTAAAATATATTGATGACGATGTCCGAGAATATGTTAATAACATTAACATCCGTCCTAACCATATGTGGTATGCCTAGATTGTGTGTACTGTGTGGTTCTGCGGGCCTGCAGCTGGATATTACTGCTTTAAGTGGCAACAGATTCAAACTTCAGGCTTTCTCACCAGTAACAGCGCCTCCAAATGGCTGAGGTAGGTCTCTTCACTGGCCAGAATTCCAGACAACACCCTTTTCCTCATCTCCAATCCCTTCTCCAGGTCCAACTCCGCCTGTGTGAACAGTGAAAGAGACTCACACACTTCTGAACAACACAATCCCACAGTCACATGACTTTAAAATTACATACTGGCAGTGCCGGAATAGGCTATAAAAGAGCAACTTGGCACTGGTTCAATGGAGATGCTTGCTGGTCTTACAATAACTGTCTTGGCTACACGAGAATCATGGGAAATACATAACTGCTTTGAACTGAATAAAGCCTTTATGTACACTGTCCACTAAGCTCTAAGGAAATTATCAAAGAATGCTTCCAAAAGTGAGACATGTCGATTTAGTGTTGTGTTGAGTAGGTTACTGAGTGCTGATGATGGCTAAATGTTCATGGAATGTTCGTTTCCATGGCCACAGCACAGGTAGTGGAAATCACAGATGTTCGTGATAGCCTCGTGAGACTTCCATAGTCCAGATTTCAGGATAAAACATCCGTCTGCTTTATGACTGTAATCATTGTGGACTGTACTGGCCTGTATTGAGGTTTAAAGCTGAACTAATGGTAAAATAGCTTCAGTGCATTCAATGATAATAAATGTAGAACCCTGCCTGGTGATGCAGTAATCCCATCATGGAAACCTGCAGCAGGGGGAAGGTGGACATCAAGGTTTTATTCATGAACTCTTGGGCGCTAGACGTTTCACCCCAGGGGGCAACCCTGTATCTATGGACCACCATCTTTTATTCATCCACATATTTATTAATCATAGGATGTCAACGTAGCAGCCCATCAGAATGAGTAGAGCTCATCTCTGCTCCTTAAACTATAATTGTGACATACTGAAAATGTAAGGATGAAAAACTAATTCCAAATGGAAATATCTAACATGATTTTTAACTAGAAATCTAACAAGAAATTTAAGATTGCAGAGGATCAAAACAGTACAAAACAGTTTAACAATTTTACAATAATGATGACAATTTAATCTTAATGTATATATGTTTTATCTATTAAAAAGGAAAGCAGTCCACATTTGGATGTTCATGTGTCTTAAACTGTAATTCAAAATGTAACAAATCAAAAGCTGAACTGTTATTTTATGAAACAAACAACAAAGAAGAAGAAACCTACACTGTAAAAATTTTTAAGTCAAACATAATAATCCTTATATACTTTAGCTTTTTCTTGTTCAGCTTTTAAAAACATCAGCTGCACTGACCTAAAATTATTCATTCATTCATTCATTTTCTTATCGGCTTAGTTCCTTTATTAATCCGGGGTCACCACAGCGTAATGAACCGCCAACTTATCCAGCAAGTTATCCAGCAACTTATCCGCAACCCATCTCTGGGAAAACCTAAAATTATTTGTCAGTAATACAAAAAAACATTTAGTTTGGTTAACATAAGATTGTTCGTTTTCTGGAAAGGGGAACCACTCCCTAACAAAACTTTTTAAGTTGTGCCAACTGAACATTTTTTGTCTGCAGAACTGGAATGCCTGAAGTTGAGTGAACAAAAAAATTCTTATTTCCTTATTTCCTTTGGGGTTTTTTCTCGTGCACTCAACATTCATCTTGCATTCATCCTGTAACTCAACACTCAAATTATTGTTTTCACTTTTAATTGACGGGACAGTACAGAGTATAGACAGGAAAGCGTGAGGAGAGGAGAGAGGTGAAGGATCTGCAGAGGACCTCAAAGCAGGAATCAAATTCAGGTCACCATGAAAACTGAAGTGCCATGTGTCAAAGCACTAACCACTGCACCACAGGTGCCAACATGTACTCAACTTTTGAAAACATAAGTTGTACTGACTTAAAATGTCTAAAGTGTCTCTCGTGGAAACTGGTACTAAGAAATAATACATTATCAGAACAAACACAGTTCAATTGAAAAAAGATAACTAAAACAGAAACAAATGTTAACAAAATATTTATTAGACACAATTAGAAACAAGACGGTGAAACGACAATAACGGTGAGCAAGAAAAAATGATAAAAACATGGCTGGACAAACAGGGAAAAATTCTTTGTGATGCTTCAGATGTAAAGCATGCCTTTCTGTTTTTTTTCAATTGAACGATGTTTGATCTGATAATGTAATATTTCTTAGTACCAATTTCCTCAAGATTTTTTTTCACTCAACTTCAGAAATTTTAGGTCAATGCAACTTGTGTTTTCAAAAGTTAAGTACACATCGGTGCCAATGGTGAAGTGGTTAGTGAGTCGATATAACATCAGAAAGATCCGACCCTTCTTATCTGAACATGCAGCTCAACTCCTTGTTCAAGCTCTTGTTCTCTCCAAACTGGATTACTGCAACTCTCTACTAGCTGGGCTTCCAGCTAACTCTATCAAGCCTCTTCAACTGCTCCAGAATGCAGCAGCACGAGTTGTCTTCAATGAACCTAAACGAGCACATGTCACTCCGCTGCTAGTCCGTTTGCACTGGCTGCCAGTTGCTGCTCGCATCAAATTCAAAACTCTGATGTTTGCCTACAAAGTGACTTCTGGCCTAGCACCTTCTTATCTGCACTCACTTCTGCAGATCTATGTGCCCTCCAGAAACTTGCGTTCTGTGAATGAACGTCGCCTCGTGGTTCCATCCCAAAGAGGAAAAAAATCACTTTCGCTCACGCTCACGCTCAATCTGCCCAGTTGGTGGAATGAACTCCCTAACTGCATCAGAACAGCAGAGTCACTCTCTATTTTCAAGAAACGACTAAAAACTCAACTATTTAGTCTCCACTTCACTTCCTAATCTGCAATTGCCTATTTCAATATCACACTAACTGAACAAAAAAAAAAAAAAAAAAAAAAAAAAAAAAAAAAAAAAAAATTACTAACACTTCCCTTCTTAGACTTTACAGACCTGAAACTTGCCTTTAGTACTTATTCATTGTTGCTCTTAGTTGTGTAAATTGCTTCCTTGTCCTCATTTGTAAGTCGCTTTGGATAAAAGCGTCTGCTAAATGACTAAATGTAAAATGTAAATGTAAATGTATATATGGCACTCCGGTGTTCACATCAGGCTAAATTAAATTCCCGCCATGAGGTCTGTTCCTTCCCCTCTCCCCCTGCTTTCCTGTCTATTTTCTCTACTGTCCTATCAATTAAAGATGAACACAAAAATGAAAAGAAATAAGGATTATGTTTTTTTTGTTGTTCACACAAATGTGTTCCGTCGACACAACATAAAACGTTTTGTTACAGAGTAGTTCACCTCTCCAGAAAACTAATAAATAATCTTTTGTTAACCCCACTTAATTTTTTTTTTTTATCACTGACAAATAATTTTAGGTAAGTGCAGCTAATGTTTTCCAAATTTAAGAGAACAAGAAAAAAAGTGAAAGAAAATAAGTTTTTTTGTTGTTGTTTTATTGACTTAAAATTTTGAACAGTGTACAAATATGTCACATTTTCATTTAAAAAACTTTAGTAATTTCATGAGCAATTGTCTTTTTGCTTCAATAAAGCACACAGCACTTTTTAGTTATTATCAAATCACTATCTTTGAATAAAGTGGCCATGTGAAGCATCCGATCAAATCAATCAAATGCAACTCCAATATCTCCACAACAAACAGATGTCTAAAATTCTTTGAAAACCCAGCATTTAGTTGTTCAAGATACATGCTAATCATCATAGTTGCAAACACAATGGATTTCTTCTTCCATGCACTCTAAGGGGGTTTGCAGTCATGACACATCTCAGAAATTCCGTACCAAAATTTCAATCCAAGTGTTTCCAATTTTTTTGTGTGCTATATGCATTAGCCATTCATCCAGCGCTATGTGGGTATGACGTCTGAGGATCAAACTACAGCAACTGATGCAACTTTTCTTAAATGAGCAGACACAAAAATCACACTCATTAAAATCTTATTTGATTTCTTGTTTGAGGCTAAACAAGAGGAAAATGTAGCTGTAAAACGGTGACCATCTCTTTGTGGTGTCAACTGCAGGTTTATTTGCAGCTCAATTTAATTTGTTTACATAGCAAATCCCTCTTTGAATCTGAGGGTATTTCAAATCCCTGGCTGTGTGTATGTTGGGTAAACACATGTAGCTGGGGAAGGGGTGTACAACTGTGTGCAGGTGAGCATCCACTACATATTGACTCAAACCCATGTGGGAGTTAAACTAGGGCCTGAATAACCTGCTTGCCTCTGAGCATTATATTGGCAGGGAGAAATATCAATCAGTCTGACAGCCAATAGCTGTGTCAGTGAACCAAGAAAGCTCCTTTTTACAGTCAGTCATTTAATTTAATGGCATAGCCACTATGCAAGATGAAGACCTGAGGATCTGATATGAAATATATGATCATTTAAAATCATGGCTGAGAACAATAGTATCTAAAAACTACTTCCGATCATGCATGACTGCATTCAAGGAGTAATTTTTTTCCTGCACAGTGCAGAGCAATATAATTCAAACTGCAATAATAAGCAATAAACGTTCAATTAGAATTGTACAATGCAGACTCAGCACTTTAAAATCTGCAAGCTTTGAGAACTGCCAAATTTTACAGCTCAATGATTTTGTTGTGTACCATTACCATTGAGGCAATGTGGGTTACTGGTACAATAATTTATAAAGGACTGCTTCACAGATGGCATATATGGGGTGGATCCTGTATTCATTCAAGCATGAATTCATTTCTAATGCATACTCTTTACCTAAATATTCCAACATGAAGATATTCATCTCTCCGCTTTCAACAAAATAATTAGCTACTGTATTATTATTACACCAGTGTCATTATTTTATTGTTTGCATATGGCAAACAATTTCAAATTTGACTACACTAAATAGATAATTTTGTCAATTTCTTCTTACATTAAAATATATTATATATATATAACTACGGTCTTTATTTTTTTCACATATTAAAAAAATAAATAAATTTAAAAAAATAAAATACTATTAAAATAATTAAATTAATTGTAAAATAAAATAATTAATTTATAAAATAAAAATAAAATAAAAATTAAATAGATTTATTATAAAATAAAATATAAAACAAGACATAAAACAAGACAAAGCAAAGCAAAACAAAACAAAACAAAACAAAACAAAACAAAACAAAACAAAACAAAACAAAACAAAACAAAACAAAAAACAAAACAAAACAAATCAAAACAAAAAACAAATTAAAATAAAATAAAATAAAATAATGGAAGGGCATCTGCTGCGTAAAACATATGCTAGATAAATTGACAGTTCATTCCGCTGTGGCGACCCCAGATTAATAAAGGGACTAAGCCTAAAAAAAAAATTAATGAATAAAATAAAATAAAATAAATAAAATAAAATAAAATAAATAAAATAAAATAAAATAAAATAAAATAAAATAAAATAAAATAAAATAAAATAAAATAAAATAAAATAAAATAAAAGAGTTGTCAATGTCTGGAGAATACAGGGAACACTTACAGACTTGGAGGATTCGATTGAGCCAGAAGAGAGGGTGTCTCGACTGCTGCGGCTCTTAGAGCTGAGGTGAGGGGAAGAGGAGGGGGAGTCATCGATGTAGGGCAAGATGTCATGGTGCCTGCGCTGCTCCTCAGCTCGATCTGCGTCATAACCGTAGGTGGGAGGAGTGCCTGTAAACGGACCATCTGCGACAAACCAGAAAGAAAACAATACACAGTTGTGAAAAGCCAAGCAGAAAAACAACATCTTATCATTTATGAAATGAAAAACACACAGAACTCCGTGCTTACTAAAAAAATAGCTACTGATTGAGTTCATGCCCCATCTCATAATTTCATCAGCCAAGAGAGTCAGTTTCAGATTCTCAGTGTTCAATTGATTCGGCTTAAGTGGCAGTCTAACATTAGAGCTCTTAAATAGCAATTTGATTATATCTGGAATGAGTTCTAAGTGTTTGCATTAATTCAGACAGGTCAGAACCTACTGTAAACATTAACATCACACACAGGTTTCCTCACGTGAAATGTTTCCTCAATGGTAGTAAGAGATATAAAGCAAGACAAATGCTCCCAGTGCTGTAGGACAGCAGCCCAAGTTCCTGCTTCGGGACTGGTTTGGCCATTAAGCTTCTGGCAGCCACACCACAGGATATTATATTTATTCAACACAAGCTCCTAGTTAAAACTGTTTCACCCGCATATAAGACAAGCACCTCTGCTAAACCCTGAGAGTAAGATTCAGCACAATAAGTTCTTCAGAAAGGTGACACCAGAAATGCTTGGACGGGAACACAGTGAAACAATCAATTAAATGGTGTCGTTAATGAAACTTTCCCTTGTTTTGGGAGTTTTCTGTTTGGCAGGTGGGGAAAATCCAGCAGTGAAACCAGTGAAAAAGCCATTTCAATGTAGCTATTTTTCCACCACACAAACTGAAAATGGACAATGAGAGTGCTCATATAGGCTATTCATACACTGACCACCAACCAAACCTGTTGGAAAAGCACATTTTTAGCAGCCATTATTATGGAAACTGTGATCCACTTTATGATTGTTTGATTATTAATTTCAAGAGAACAATTGAACTTAAACCATATAATGTGTCTTTGTTGACTAAAAGTGTTAATATCCCTCCAAAAACATAATCAACCCAATGAGTACATTGACATGTACACCAACACTTTGGTTTGAATACAATTAAGACAATACTCTGATCAAGAGTCTTCCATGTAAATCGGGATTTTTGATGAACCTAATCTAACCTAAATTATAATCGAACTATACGGAAATCAATTTAAGACAGGTGGTGTTTTCCTATTTTAGTTTTCACTACATTTTGCGACAGGATGCACACACGGCAATTTCAGGCGTTTGACGACAAACAAATGAGAATGGCTTCAATCAAGAGAGCACATTTTGGTGCGAGTGTGAAACGACGACTATGCTGATAATTCTGAAAGAAATTAATATTACGATGTGCCTCAACTTTGACGTGATTTGGTCGAGGGAGCATGAGCGAAAAGTGAAATGACATGGCAGAGGTGGCCAGTTGCTTGAGAATTTGTATTCGTCATCGTCTGTTTGCACGCATAGTGTGAGAAATTAACTGCAGTTGAACTTGCAGCCAAATTAAAAACAAAAATCACATATGACGCCATGACGAACACCAATTGTTGTTGCGTGAAATGCCAGAGGAAACTAGCATCGAATGCTGACGTAATGATGTTAATCAAACTATGTACTATAACATGTAAAATGGGAACATTCAAAAAGCAACTAATGTAAACACCCTAATCATTTTAGTGTCTTATTTAGATTACGGCAAATAATTAAATTACTGATGTTAACGTAGTCAATGTTTTTAGGGAATGTTTGCACACATTAAATGCCGATTCTAAATTGTAGTTCCAAGGTGTTTGTGCATGAAGCCAAATGAGTTTGAAATATCTCTAGCGGACTGAGTCATGTTGCCTTGTCATTGCTTCAGCGCTTATCCTCCCACTCCTGCCTCTGTCACTCTCTCTCTCACTTTTTTTCTCTTATCCTTTCCTCCAGCTTCCCACAGATGTCTGCTGCTCTTTGGCTAAAGGAGCAGCATGCCATACGCATCTGGAAACACGATCATCATTATAAACAATTCCAAAATCAGACAGCACTTCCAACCCCTTTGTGAAGCCTAGATAGATGCTTGCACAGTACAAACAAACTAAAAGTCCATTTAAATGGTGGGCAATCCCATACAGAATTTGCAAATGCATTTCTGCATTGATTTAGGGAGGATTGGTATGGTTTTAAACATGTCAAAATGTGTAAACACAGTTAAAAATACTACAATGACCACCTAAAAAAAGCAAGCAAAATCAACCAAAAATATTTAACTAAATTCTGTATAAATCTGTGTGCCTGTTCATGTTAATTTAGTCCCAGGATCTCTCTCGTGGCTTACTACATACTGTGTGTGAGCAGACTGAAACCTACAGCATGTCATTTCTCATGGGTATACGGGATATGGGGAAGCCTGAGAGATGAACTGCTGCAAACCTGCCAAAATCTCGTCAGCATGTGTGCCAAAGGGCTCCAGATAATCCTTTCATTTTGGTCCGAAAGAAAAAAGAAAGAATTTGTGGGAGGAATTGGGCTACTAATGTTACTGTGAGTGCTGACATGTCCTTCAGGGCTCTTTGGACAGAGAGTTGAGGGTTGTGATGAGGGCTGAGATGTCACGGAGGTCTGCATCTGCCAGATAAATTAAAGACACCTCCCATGCGTCACAAATTCTAATAAAGTCTGAAAATAAGAAATAAGAGTGCGGAAGAACATATATGTGTGGTACACATGAGTGCCTGACCTCTAGGGAGGGCAGAAAAAAATAGGAAAAAAAGATGGAAAATGACACATCAGGGATAAAGAGGTCTGCCCATTTTCTTCTCCACAGTCGGTTTCCCTAAATATCCAATTTCTGGGCAATTTAATACCGCCCACCCCTAATCACCATACACACTGAAATGATGAAGAACGTAAAAGGGGAGGTGAAAATTAAACAGAAATGAATAAAGTGCCGCCTCGGGGCATGACTGAATCAAACGGGGATTGCACAGAGAAGTTAATTTGACAAGAGCTGTCATTTTAAGGGCATTAAAAAAAAATACAGTCTGTGTTAGCTGATATTGCATTTCTAGAGTTTTCATGTCCATGCAGAACAAATAAAAAATATGTATATATAACAATAAAAAAATAACAACACTGTCGCCTCACAGCAAAGAAGGTTGCTAGTTCGAGTCCCGGCTGGACCAGTTGGCATCACTGTGTGGAGTTAGCATGTTCTTCCTTTGTTCCTGTGGGTTTCCTTCGGGTACTCCGATTTGCCCCACAGTCTAAAGACATGCGGTATAGGGGAATTGAATAAACTAAATTGACCGTAGTGTATGTGTGCAAATGAGTGTGTATGAATGCTTCCCAGTACTGGGCTGCAACTGGAAGGGCATCCGCTGTGAAAACATATGCTGAATAAGTTGGCGGTTCATTCCGCTGTAGTGACACCTGATGAATAAAGGGACTAAGCCGAACGAAATGTATGTATGAATGAATTCCATTCTTTCAATCATTTTCTTGTTGGCTTAGTCCCTTTATGACTCCGGGGTCGCCACAGTGGAATGAACTGCCAACTTATCCAGCAAGTTTTTACACAGCGGATGCCCTTCCAGCCGAAACCCATCTCTGGGAAAATGAATGAATTTAAAAATATATATATAAAATGAGGTGCGCGTTAGGATTACAAACTTACAAAAACATACATTTAAAGCCAAAACTTGTTGCTTAATACCAAAAATATACTTTATTTTTCACATTATGTCAGTGTAGTGAGAAACGTCTCAACATTTTTAAAAGTTATTGTTATCACAATACTTAAAATCACAATACTTAAAAAATGACTTTTTTTTTTTTTAGGGATGAACCGAACTGAAAATTCTGGGCCGAAGCTGAAAATCTTTTTATGTGCCTGTTCTGCTATTGGCTCGATAGAAGGTGAAAATAACCTAACATAAGCACTAATAATAGGAGTTGAAATATGAGGAAAATGACAATAGGCAATAATCGTGCATTCACAATGTCAACACATTTGCACGTTGACAGGTTTTTTTTTTTGTTTTTTTTTGATCAGAAAAGTTTAAAAGATCATCAAAATATGTATTATTACATTCAGAATTTTTTAAGCTAATAAAAATGTGTTTTTTTAATCTAGGAAAATGTTATATCACACGAAATGTTGATATTGTAATACTCAACAGCAATATCACATATGGCATTTTTTCCCAGTATCGTGCAGCCCTACAATATGAAGGGAAAAGTTTTTAGTATCACTTCATTTTGATGGTCGCTTTAACTAATTTTGTTGAATTTAAGTTACATTGCAACCATGCCAACTCATTCTTTTTAGATACAAGTAGATTGTTAGGTTGGAGTTATGGTTAGGATTAGTGTAAATTGACATGTACTTGCAAAGTTTCTTATAGTCAGTTAATTGTGTCGAAGCAGCAGTATCAACAGATATTAAGCAGACAGTCTACTAATACTCAAATGAGAATTATTTGGCATGTAGTTGCAGTTCAACTTTTAGACAACACAATATGCAATAGAGACCATTAAAATAAGGTCTTAACAAAGTTTCAAATGTATTTAATGTATTTTAGCGATCATTAAAATCCTCTGTAAAGAGAAACCTTATGTAGAAAGGGTTTTAGCATGCTCATAGTTGGTTTCTTAATTTGTTCCATACATTCCACCACGACCATCTAAGCACTGCTTTTATAACATAATTCACTATTTTGAACAATAAATTACTGTCAAACTAATCTGAACCCTTGAAGGTCTAGACGTCCAATAAAGCCCAAAACAGATTTTACCAAATATGTGCCTTGAGTTAAAAAGGAGGCAATTGGATTTTTTGTTTTTTTGGTACGTGTGGTTATCTCTTATCTAAGTGGCATGTTTATCTGCAAAGAAATAAACACAAGGAAAGATTAAATCCAGGAAAGCAGCCAAATGTTGCACAGGGAAGCCCCCTAGTGAGAGTAAATCAGCCTTTGTCTCAGCAAGAGGAAAAATGAATCACAACACACCAACACACAGAGCCACCCTGCAATCAACACCAGCGCCAAGCTGCCATCCTCTCCCAAACCCTACCG